GCAGCTGGGGGTAAAAAAAAAAAAAAAAGGTAACTTATAAAGGAAAACCCATTAGATTATCCTCAGATTTCTTGCCACGAGTTCCCTGAACAGCCCTGCCTCTGACAGTTGTGAGTTCCCATGGCTGGCTGGCTGCAGAGATCAGCATCAGGGCAGAAAGCAGAGATTACTGATGTTGAAGACAGAAATCTAGAAAGAAATCAGAACGAAGAAGAGAGAAACCGAAGAACGAAAAATAATGAAACAGAAATTCAATAACTAGCTGATACCATCAGGAGAGAAAATATAAGAATAATGGGCATAATCGAAGGTGAAGAAAAGGAACAGGGATTAGAAAGCATTTTCAGACAAACAGTTGAAAAGGATTTCCCAAATCTAAGGAATGAGCTAGAGCTTGGAATTCAAGAAGTCAACAGAACACCCAATTATCTCAAGCCAAAAAGGCCATCACCAAGACACTTTGTATTAAAATTATAAAAAAATCAATGACAAAGACAGAATGCTCGAGGCAACCAGGGAGAAAAAAGCCGTAACTTATAAAGGTAACTCCCCTAGATTATCCTCGGACTTCTCAGCGCAAATCTTACAAACCAGAAAGGAATGGAATCAAATATTTAAACTATTAAGTGAAAGGAACTACCAGCCTAGAATAATATATCCGGCTAAGCTCTCCTTTACATATGAAGGAGAAATTAAGACTCTTCCAGACTTTCAAAAATTGAAGGAATTCTCCACTACAAGGCCTGCACTACAGGAAATAAAGAAAGGGGTCAGCACACCTAAAACAAAATGACAAAACAAAAGACAAAAACAAAATGAAAAAAACATAATTAGGAGTAAAGTGACTACAGGCAAACAGAAGCAGAGGAATGCAACCGTAACTATGAACAGGGCATTATAAGCTTAAATAATAAGAGAATTGTTATAACAAGATAGTAATGAAAGTTCAGCATACATAGGGACAAATTGAGATAACGATGACTGAAAAGGGAGGGAATCAAAGATCCAAATTCACAAAGGGAAAGGAGATATTCATATTCATAATGGTAATCACATGTCAAAGGTTCAGAACCAAAGTACATAACATAAAACAAGAAGGACCAGAGGAAAAGCCAACAAAAGCAAAACAAAATAAAGAAAAAAGGAGTACAAGGAAAGGAAGCAATGGAAACACCAAGCTACCAGAAAGCAAAAGATAAATTGGCTATGAGAAGACCTCATATTTCAATAATCACTCTAAATGTAAATTGATTAAACTCACCAATAAAAAAGCACAGAGTTGCAGAATGGATCATAAAACAAAACCCAACCATAGGCTGCCTCCAGGAGACACATCTCAGCTCCAAAGACAAATATAGACTCAAAGTGAAAGGGTCGAAAATGATATTACAAGCAAATGGCATTCAGAGTAAAGCCGGAGTAGCAGTACTAATATCAGATGAAATAGATATCAAAATTAAAAAAATAAAGAAAGATACTGAGGGACACTTCATAATGATAAAGGGAATCATGCACCAAGAAGACATAATACTTATTAATATCTATGCTCTCAATCAGGGAGACCCAAAATATGTAAATAAATTACTAACAGAATTGAAGGGAGAAACACACCAAAACACTATCTTAGTAGAGGACCTAAATACCCCACTGTTGGATATGGAAAGAACATCCAAACAGAAAATCAATAAAGAAATAACATCCTTAAATGAGACATTAGACCAACTGGACATAATTGACATTTACAGAGCCTTCCATCCCAAAACAGCTGCTTATACATTCTTCTCTAGTGCACATGGAACATTCTCAAGAATCAACACATACTGAGACACAGAGATAGCCTCAACAAATATAAGAGGGTTGAAATAATACCAACTGTATTCTCTGATCATAATGCTTTGAAACTAGAGATCAACTGCAAAAAGACAT